AGAGGGAACAACCAGCTCTACCCTTATTAACATTGTTTCAAAGAACCAGAGATGCCACACTCAGATGTTAGTGCCAGTGACTGTGTGTGAGAATGGGTGAGCTGGAGTGTGGGAGAGAGAGGATGAGCGCGTGCAGGAACTTCCCCATGAGTATGTGAGAACGTGTGTACACATGACAGCTAATGTGAGCATTTCTGTAAGTCTGTCATAGTGCTGGTAAGTATGTTGTGTGGATGTGGGTGCAAGAGTGGAAATATTTACACTTAGTGCATACCTGTGTATATGAGCATATGCTTATATATGTCTATTGTTTAGACTTTTGTATAATATATAAGGGTATGCGTGTGTGCATTGCTTTGTGTGCTTTTTGTGGGTGTGCATGCTGGGTTTGAACATGTGCAGGGGTTTGTGCGAATATGTGTGTGGTTGTGTACTGTGGATGTGTGTCTAAATACATGAGATGTGTTGGTGTTTATGAGATTGTGCGTGTGTATGTAGATATTTGAGCCTATGTGTCTCTGAGAGCATGGTATGAATGTGTATATCACATCCTATGTGTGTGCCTGTGAGTCTGCTTACATGTATGCAGGTATATCTGCATGAGCATGCGCATGGGATGTGATTTATCTACCTCTGTGTGAGCATCTGTGTGTGCCCTTGCACATCTGTGTCCACATCAAGTCACCCTCCCTAGCAATGAGGGAAGCACGCAGGCTGTTGCCGCTGCCTCAGGAACTCTGTGCTCAGATCATCACGGGTCATGTGATTCGCTTTTGTCCCCTTCTTTCCATTAGAAAACAACTCCTGAAGTGTTGCTGCATCTGTTTGGTGAAGGTCCTACTCCCTAGGTGAACCCTGTTTGTCCGTGTGACCTGGGGACCATGGACAAGATGTCCAGCCCTAGGGCTTAAAATAGCTGGGCACTTTTCCCTCTGCCCACAAGACAATTCTAGCCCTGTGGGCTCTCGCATTCATTCTCAGGTAAACACGCTGTGACAGGCTTCTATGGGAGACCAACCCGAGCGGTCACAGCTGTGCCACATCTCGGCGCACCCCGACACCAGGCAGAACAGGAATGTTTGCTGTCACCTCGGGCTGTGGGCAGCAAATACCTTCCAGCTTCACCAAGGAGCAACGCTGCACAGAGGGCCCCAGCCATGTTTGCCTCCTGGAGCCACCTTGTTCCAGTGTTTATGAGCCACATGTGCCGAGTCTCTTGGAACATTCAAAAGGATTCTCAGTACTGGATCTTTCCAAAACTGAAACCACAAATTCTTCATTGTGCATAAAACTTCAGTCCTTAAAATAAAAAATGTACTAACTCACCGGAGGTCAAGCTAAGGCCTTCATGTTGGCAGTGTGAGGGACACACAGATACAACCAACTTATACAGGCATGGCCTCACAGTAAAGTGGTGACCATTTTTTAAGAACTCCTGCAGTGAAGTCCTGGCAGCCAGGCTGCTTCACAAGGTGGTAGAGCTATCAAGGATCTTGGTGAAGGTAAGAATCGATGGCTCTGCTATGCATTCCTCTTTTCTTGTGAGTTCAGGGAGGAACTTCCCAGAAAACCTTGTTGAAATTAAATCCGCTCTCTAACTTCCACTTCCTGAGAATTTGAAATCAGAATCTCTCCTGGGCTTTGATACAAGGAATACCCCATATTAGGCCCCAGCCCTACTAGCCAGTGCAGAAAAGAGTAGCTTGGCTCCAGAAAAACATTTTCAGTTTGAACAAAAGACAGTAAAATAAAGCAAGTTCCTCAGTGTAGACCTGAAATACTGAGACTCCCCAATGTGAGTCGGTTGGAGAAAGGAAAGGAGATGGCTTTTCTGGGCAGCAGGCTTAAGCTTTCCCCAAGCTCTGTGCCATTCATGGGATGAGATCAGAGGCAGGAACTTGATATCCAGCCCCATGGGGCTCTACTCCTCCCCAGAGAAGTTAGATCTGGAATGAGCACCGTATTCCTAAAAGTGTAGGGATCACACTGTCCAGAGATTGTTGAATTCTCTCTCCTCTTGTATGTGCTGTTCTTTAAATGTATGGCTGACACTTCTCCATGACAGTTGAGGGTCTTTGTGTCCTCTCCTTATTTCTGTGCATGACTGTGTACTGACTTTGAAGGCCCCAGTCTGTCAGAAGTGATGGTGCCAGCCTGATCTCTAAGGTTCAGTCCTAAGGGATGCCATGTCTGCACCTGAGTCAGTCTCTTATGATACAGACCTGGAAAGTCTATAACTCCCTGATATGAAGCCTCCTTACTCCAAGACCACCCTACATGGTGGATTGGCCATGTAGAGACAGTCCTGTGGAGTCTGCTGTTCCAGCTCCTAGATGTGCAAAGATCCCAGTTAGGGCACCAAGCATGCAAGTGAGGTGCCTTCACACTACTCCAGCCTTTCCTCCATTTAAGACCTAAGCCCACAGAACAGAGCCACCTCCCCTATGTTGTCTGGCAAGACCCAGGATCTCTGGGACTCTAAAATGTGCCACTGCTTTTAGTCTGAGCTTGAGCATGGTTTTCTGTACAACCACGGTAACTAGAGCAGTCTGGCACCTGATAGATTCCAAGGTATGCATCTCTACGTGCTAATGGTGACCGTATTTAGAAGTTTATGTCTTTGAATCAGACATATTTTCATAGGAACATATTGCATGGAGTCCTCATTGCCTGGTTATATGTAGAAATGGCGTGTAAAGTGTGGGGGTAGTGCGATAGCTTAGGACCATGAATGTCTCCTGAAAAGTACATGTGCTCGCTAGGAAGATGGCTCAGTAGTGACGATTGTTTGCTGCTCCTATCAGAAGACCTGAGCTCAGATCTCAGCACTCACATTAGGTGGCTCACAAATACCTCTGTAACACCAAGGACTCATGCAATCCCCCTCTAGTCTCTGGAGATGTGAATGAGCGTGCACGAGCATGCACACACACACACATGCACGCACACACATACACACACACACACAGCTTGCTCTTCAGTACAGTACTGTTCAGAAGTGGGACCCTTGGGAAGTGACTGAACCATAAGGGCTCTCACCTCACGAGTGCATCAAGCCATTGGTAGATTCCTAGTTAAGAAGACTATGGAGAGAAGGCTGGGATAAGTAGGTTAGTGCGTGTGACCTGGAAGTCTGTATTTTGTTCTTCATGTTTTGTCTTACTCTTCAGCTACCATGAGGTCAGCAGCTTGGCTTCACCACACACTCCCCACCTTGAAGTGCTGACTCACTAGAGACCCAAAGTGCCCAAAGCAATGGGGTCCAGTGACCATGGGCTGAAGCCTTGGAAACCATGAACCAAAAGAAACCTTTCTTCCTTGAGGTTCACGGATATTTGGTTACAGAAATGGAAAGCTGACTAATGCTAGCATTGCATCCTTAAAACTGTGGGTTAGGTTCCAAGTGCATTCCCCCAAGCAGTGTTTGAGCAGAGTGTTAGGAGCTGGGATGAAAAGACACAAGCAATCCACAAGAGGGGGGGGGGCGGGAATCATTCAATCAAGCACAAAAAGCCTTGAGGGTGGCTGAGCTGCCGGTGCTGCCTTACATCCCAAAGCCCCCAGTCATCTGGTCTAGCTGGCAATCCAGACTGCTTTTCCTTTTCAGGTCCTCCTACCACCACATCATCCTTTCTCCCTTCCTTACTCCTGTCTCTGCTCAAGCCTACTGAGCTCCATGCTGGTCCCTGAACATGAAACTGATGCTTACCCGAGGACCTTGGCATTTTCTCTTCCCTCTATATAGACTGCACCCTGCCCAGCTGTCCCCTCCATCTGGTCCCTGTTTATGTGTCACCAACTCAGAGATGGCTTTGTCCAAAGCTGCTCTCCTTCCTCATTTCTCTCCACCCCTTTAGTAGACTTAATTCTTTGTCCTAAATGTCACCGAAACCACACCTTTCCTGGGCTTCTCCTTCTCTAGCAGCTTTGTTGATCAAGACTTCCCTTCTCCTGAGAGTTTCCCCCATTAAGTCTCAAGTGCCTGAAGTCTGTCTTTGCCTTAGTCACCGCCTCTGGGAACCAGCTTTGCATTGAGGGAGAGGGATGCACAATCTGTGGATGCCCACAGCAAACCCTTATAAAATAGCCAATGAAACTTAAGAAACAATTGAGTACACACTTAAAACTAATCTGAGCTTAGAATGTGCACTCTAATTACACGAGCTCGTGATCTTTACTTTTTAATGACAAATGTCTGGTTCCGGGGATGTGTTCAGGTCTCCTAGAATCATGTTTACCTAACTAAATATGGGAGGCAGTGCTATAGAGCCCAAGGAGATCACGTGGGCTACAGCAAACAGTCAACAGATGCATGCTATTTATTCTGTTTTTTAGTCTTTTCATATGTTTTCATAAGCCACACAGTCATTTTGTTTATAGGTTACCCCAAAGCAGGCATCGCAGACACATGACTCCTACGTTAATGGCAGTGCTGTCTGCCAGGCACACTTCTGAGGCGAGCATCTCCACCATGAGGGCCTCTGACAACAAGGTACAGTGTGGTCACTGCCTCTACCTTCTGTGCCTCACGGTATCTTCACAGCCAAAACATGATCAGCAAAGCTCGGAAATCTCTTTAGATACGTACCTCTTCCTTTAAAAGTCATACACAGCCACCCCGGCAACAAATGCCTGTAATCCCAACATCAGAGAGTACAATGAAGAAGGATGGTGGGTTCAAGATCAGCATGGACTACATAGCAAGTCTCAAATAAATAAATAGATAGACAGATATAGATAGATAGAATGACAGATAAGAAAGCAAAAGGTTCCCATATAGCTGTGGTTAAACCAGCTTCAATCACAAAGAGAGAGGGCCCAGTGGTTAAGAGTGTTTGCTGCTCTTCCCAGGACCTAAGTTCCAGGTTCTCTACACCCAAGTCAGGTGGCTCACATGAATGCCAGCTGCTAGGAATCTAATGCTCCCTTCTGGACTCCAGGGACACCCACCAACATATACACAGAAAGAGATACATACAATAAAAATAAAATAAAATTACCTCTGTGTTCTTTTTTGTATTCAAAAGCCTAAGTGTATCTGAAAAAAATTAATGAACATATTCAAAGATTCAGATTTTGAGACAAGTGCTCTAACGTAAACCTTCATTACTGAAAGAGCTGATTTCCAATTCAGCATTTTTCTTCATGTAGAATTTCACATCCGGATTATCAGGCAAGAATCCAACATTTGAAACTTTACAAACCGACACACCAAAAAGGTTCTGAATACAACTCAGACCCCACACACCTAAGGCAATTGTTATAGGCTGCTAAACCTTCCAGTGAAATTCAGCTCGAAATGCAGCAAAGATCATGGCAAACTAAAAGTGTGAAAAAATAAAAGTAATACAGAAACTCTGTTCTTGGAGATAGTTTTGCATTGTGGTTGCAAAATACATGCAATTTTCTTTTTCTGGAAACATGTTTCCTTAAATGTGAGTCCCAACAACCACCACCACCACTACCCCTGCCTTCTCAGTAGGCTGGGATCTTTAGACACAGGTGTTTGGGGGAATTCTGAGCCCAGGGGCCCCTTTAAGTACATTAACCTAATTCTACTTCTGGACAGGAACAACAGGTTCTCCAAGATTCCACCACGAGGGCTATAGTACAGGGCTGGAACCCAGTGCCTTCCATGTGCTAGGCAAATGTCTTACCAAGCTGCAAGCCTTGGCCTGTGGACTCCTTCTGAAACTAACAGGCATTTCATTTCTCTGGAACATGTGTTCTGAATTGCATGTTGTAACTCGAGATCACTGTTTTAGGATAATCGTGGTCCTTTAGAAACTTCTTGTCGGTAGCCTTCAATAGATGCTAGACACGATGCTCTCCATCAGTGAGGAGTGCGGCTTCTTCTCTGTCTGGGACAGGGTACTCTTCTACTTTCTAGGAGCAAATAACAATGTTACCTTATAAATGAAGACTTCAAAGTAATCAGCTGAGCCAACTGATGGATTTGAAACAGAATCCTAATGCTTCTATCAAAGCAGGAAGGAGTCGACATACTTACAAAAGCAGTGATTTCGATTTTTTTTTTTAATTTGAATCCAACTCTGGTGACACAAGCCTGTAATCCCAGTACTGGGGAAGCAGAGGCAGGAGGAGTGTCTCAAGTTTGGGGCCAATCTGGGCTATATAGCAAGCTCCAGCACTACATATAAGACCTTAAATTAAAAATATAAAATAGAAATAAAAGCAAATAAAGTATTCATCATTTGACCTTACCACAAAGGAGGCCTTTTGGAAGAGTGAAATGTTGTTCTCCTAGAATTGCCATGGGATCAGACAAAAAAAAAAAAAGAGTAGCAATAAATTCATAAAATGTTCACTTTAGGTGCCAAGAATATCTTTTTCTCTGCCTAATGTTTATCTGAACATACTTAGCTAAGCAAGGTGCGTGCCATATCTGTTATTCCATTACCCAGGAAGCAGAGGCAGCTGAGGTTACATATGAGACTGGGTGATGAAAGAGAGAGAGACACACAGACACACAGAGAAAATGTATATCAACACGACATTGCTTAAGATACATTTTTAAAAATTGCCCATGGCACATGGCATACAGACCTCAAGAAGAGTATCCATGTACCTGCCTTATCCAAACGGAAAGATGCTCCAGTGGCATCCGGAACCTCCCAAATGGTCCCTACACCTTGGATGAAGCTCCCTGTGGCTGCCTTGTGTTTGTTTGAGTTATGAAGTGGGCTGTGAATGACATCGAGCAAGCCTCCCTGCGTCAGTATCAAAGCCTCAATTCTCTGTTTTCTGAACTCCTCTGACAAGGTTCCTCTGAGACAAAAGAGAGGCAAGGCAGAACAGCGTGAGTGGAAAGTGGGCAAGTTTTTCACCGAAAAGAGCAATATTTGGGAGTCACCCCACATCTCTCTCCTTACCAATCTGGTGAATGGCTGTTCCACATTGCTTAGCAAAGCCTTTCACCAGGCTGTTGATGAATGGTTTATGGTCAAATGGGGCATACAGAGACTGGGAAGATGGCTCAGTTTTTAAGAGCACTGGCTGCTCTTCTGCTCAGAGGACCCAAGTTAAGCTCCCAATACTCACACATGGCAGCTCACAACAGTCTGTAATGCCAATCCTAGTGAGATCTGAGGTCTTCTGCTGGCCTCCAGGGCACCAGTCTCACAAATAGTACCAGACATATATGCAAGCAAAACAACCATATACAATAGATAGATAGATAGATAGATAGATAGATAGATAGATAGATAGATAGATAGACACTAAAAAGCATGTCCATAAAATCACAGTATTTATGATGGACTGAGAAACAAATGTTCAAGGGAAGGCAAATAACCAAAGGAGATCCAAGCAGAATAATTCACCAGGTGAATTGCCAGGTCCCTTGAGAAGTCAAAGTGCTTCACCAAGTCTGCATTTTCTCTCCTACAACATCCAGATACTCCCCAAAGCTGGGGGTGGCCCAAGCAAACAACATCAGCAGGAGCGGCAGGTGGCGGAGCCCAGCTGTCCTTTCTGCAGCATGTGTACCCACACCCCAGCCCCTGCCAAATGCATCCACACTGTGTTTGATCATGGCATGCCAACATCGATTAAAGCATGCAGAGCTGCAGGTCAACAAATGATTATGGGGTGGGTTTGTGGGGGAAAATAACAGAGACATGACACTGACTTCTCCAAGGATGTCATCCCGAAAAGATAACCTGCATTCACATGTGCAGCCCAACTCTACACACAGACATCAGTTCACTTTTCTTTAGCATGCTTGCGTGCACAGGCGCGCACACACATACACACATACATACACACACATGGCGGGGGGGGGGCATTCAAACACAATGTGAGCAAGAAAGTTCCAGAACAGGGTTGCCTTGCAACCTCTGTCAGCAACTTAATGACAACCTGTGGAAGCTGCTGATGAGATCATCAAATGGTGCTGTGTCTATATTTTTCTTTCTGGCAAGTGGCTGTCTTATTATGCAAGTCAGTGAGATGGTAAATTTCACTGTAACGTTTAGTCAAGTTGACTCTGAATCGCTGTCTGTTGGTTAGCAGGTCATCGGCCTAGAACTCAAAAGCTATGTGTTACACGTGCATAATAAACACAACTCCGCGTGAGTATTTACCTTGGGAAGAACACTCCAAATCACCTGTGAAGACAAAGGAAATGTTGCCAGTCTGGCACCGTTAACAACTGCATTAGCATAGAAATGTCTCGAGTGACACATTTTATAAATGCTAAGAAGTGGGAGGCTAGTGGTGTTGGAGGAGGTCAAGAGAAGAGCAAAATCTGCTCTTTGTGGCAGGAAATCAAGATGAGCATAAGGCCTTCCCTGGCGCATACAATGACGCAATCGAGAAAGACAGGGAGAACGCAGCATGCAGTCTCGCCACTCCATCCAGGCCAGGATACACAGGCCCTTCCTAAGGGTCTCTAAGCAGATGGAGAGAGAGAGAACCACATCTCTCTAGCAACGATCATGGCTCTGTCGTTTGCCCATCCCTCTGTCGCATCTCCAAATGAGTACAGCGTTATCCTTGGAATTCCTTCTGTCTGATGAATGATCATCAGGTCTCGGACTTGTCTCTGGTGAGATCCAAACAGAGAGTGTCTCCTCTGCAGAGTGTAAACTCACAATTGTGTGCAGCCCTGCATTATTCTTAGTGCCTCCATAGCACTGAGGTCAACTTTAACAAAGGACAGCAGAGCTCTCATGGAGGACGTTAGCATCTATGGGGAAGCAGATGTTCTGGATTCCTTATAGATCTTTACAGGAACACAGGCATATAGTTTCCCAACAAGGCACTGTAGGAGAAACCCACCTTAATAAGACAAATCAACCGAGTTGAAAAAAATTATGCATCTTTTCTTAATTTCTCTCCCCTCCCAGCCCTAGCAAGTCCAAGCAGAGGCTAATTAAAAAATAATACCACAAAACTATGAATTAGTCCAAAACTTTGGTTTCGTATTTCAAAATAGTTTTGTCAAGAGCATTCCCTGTTCTTCAGTTAGGTGGAAATACAGCATTGAGGGAAAGGTTCAAATTTTGGAAGTCCACATGAGGTTGGGGTAGTAAAAGCTTCTAGGTCAGCCTCCTCCGTCTTTTTGAGGAATTGTTGAAACGTGTGAATAACTGCAGCTACTTCAGCTACTCCAGCTACTTCAGCTCCATCCCGATCATTAACCCCTCTGAAAATGCTCATAATGAATTACGAATACTCACTGGGTAGCAAATCTAATTAGCAAAGATTCAGCAATGACGACCCTCAACTAGCCGAGCTAATATTATCTTGTGTGATTGTCGCAATCCACTATTATGCCTTATACTTTTCTAGTGCCCTAGAACTAACTTTCATAGGCCAGAGAAAAATTCTACCAACAGAGAAACATCATTTCTTGAAATATCATTTCCTGGTGCTGGACCACAAGGAGGGATGGATGCATCTCCCATTGTGAAACTCTATGTAGCTGCTCACTTGGGGTATGTACAACCTTCCCAACTCTAAGGTTACCCTTTAGTGTGCATGTGAAGGTGTTTATTGAGGGTGGATCTCGGGATTTCCTTGAATGCTAAGCAAATACTTTACAGCACCCTTAGGATCTCAAACTTTTTTTGCATTGTTAATGATTGAACCCAAGGTCTTGTGGGTACTAGGTAAGGGCTCTACAACTGACCTCTGTTTAGGTTTGTTTGAAAGCTTGTCTCCTTTCAACAAGGCAATGATGGCATGTGCTTTTAATTCCAGCACTTGGGAGGCAGAGGTATGTGGATCTCTTAGTCTGAGGCCAGCCTGGTTTACAGAGTGAGTTCCAGGACAGACAGAGCAACATAGAGAGACCCTGTCTTGAAAAAAAAAAAAGGAAAGAAAGAAAGGAAGGGAAGAGGGAAGGAAGGAGGGAGGGAGGGGGAGAGGAAAGGAGAGAGGGAGGGAGGGGGCGAGGAAGGGAGGAAGGGAGGGAGGAAGACGGAAGAGGGGGAAGAAAGCCCCGGTCCTTCCAAAATGCCCTTCATCAATTGCTTTCCTAGCTCTTTTACTTAAATCATTAAGAAGGGCTCAGCCTGGCTGGAGGACCCTCTAAGGCTTTTGAACCTCATAGGCACACAGTAACTAAATTCACTTCTCAAAGTGAAGAGAGGAAACATTTGAAAACCCCTTTGGTTTGGTGCTGGCCTTTAATCCTAGTACTTGAAAGGGAGAAGCAGGTAGATCTATGTGAGTTCCATGTCAGCCAGGGATATATAGTGAGATGTTGTCTCAAAAGAAAATGAACAACAACAACAACAAAAAAAAAGCCTGTTTCCTACTTTTTACATTTTCAGTGGGTTCTGAAACAACTCCAGATTTTTGGACTTTAAAATTTATTGAAATTTTATCATCTTTCAGCTTTCCTGACATAAGTTACCTAACACTTCTTAAGAGTCCTGGAGAATTGGGAGAAGATGCATCAGAACAGACTGACTCTGGCTAGTCCCTGCTCATACAGTCTCTTCTGTTTTGCAAGGAAACAAGAATGAACCACTTGCACCTGAATCCCTATGCCTCAGCCCTGTGGTCCTTTAGGACACAGAGTTGGGAGCAGAATTCTACTCTCCTACACTGCTGTGTCTGTGGGGCCACCACTGTGTCCTTTGAGGCCATCCCCACCATCCTCACTGTATCCTCCAAGGTTGTCTCCATTGTCTTCCCATCCTCACTGCGTCCTGCAAGGTCATCCCCACCATCCTCACATCCTCACTGCATCCTGTAAGGTCATCCCCACCATCCTCACATCCTCAATACAGTCTTTTCCTCTCCGTAAGGCAAAGCCATGTGGCTACAGCTGTGCTTCAGCCTTTAGATGGAGGATCAAGGGGACACAGTTATCCAAGATCCTCTGGAAAGGAGCAGCCTAGACGTTAGGGGCTTTACTTTACAGTAAAGGAGACTTATCATATAGACAAGGTTACTAAAAATCCTAACATTGCCAAAGGTGCCAGAACCAGGAGCTAACCTCCACAAAGACAGGAGAAGGTGGGTGTCCAGCCCCAGGACTGCAATGAGTTTATCCTTGTCTGACCTTTTCATTCTCTTCAGACTTTCAGCAGACCAGGTGATTTTTACTCAGACAATCTCTCCTAGAAACACCCTCACAGACGTACACAGATGGAATGTCTGCAGCTCTTCTCATCCCTTAGCCCTGTTAAGTGGACACCGGACATTAGGCATGACACCATAGGAAAAGACAAACAGGTCTCGCAGAGCCTAGCTGCAGATCCATGCCTGTACGACATGGTGACATGCGAGCAGGAACAGACAGATGGCGCTCTAGAGCAGCTGCAAACGGCACTGCTGCGCTCACAGAAGTCTAGACCCATCTAAGAGCTTTTGGCTCAGCAACACAGGAGTCTTCACAAAGAGCCTGTGAGCTATGTTCTTAAAGGAAGAACTTTAAGAAAGCCCCCTGGGTCCCTGCTGTCTCCTCCTGGGGTTGGCATCCTTGCTGTAGTCCCCACACCTTAATTGGTGGCTGCATTTAACAAGAGAATTGGATCTCAGTATAGAAATCAGTATTTAGGTTCCTCTGACATCTAAAAGTAGAACTACCACGTGATCCATCTGCACCATCGAGGCTCTATACCCAAAGGAATTCAAGCCACATCCTTGTTTAGTACTGACCTACTCAGTACTAAACCTAGAATGACCTAGAATGAAGAAATTTAGCTATCCTTCAATGAATAAATGGTTAAATAAAATGAGGCATGCCGGACAGTGGTAGAGCACACCTTTAATCCCAGTACTTGGGATGCATAGGCAGGAGGAGCTCTGTGAGTTCAAGGTTGGCCTAGTCTACAGAGGGAGTTCCAGGACAGCCAAAGTGACACAAAGAAACTCTTTTTTTTTTTTTTTTGTGGAGGGGGGAGTCATAATGAAGTCCATTGTTTTGTACACTAAGTAAAAATAATAGTAACAAAACAGGTTCCAAACACAAGCCTTCCAACATAGAAAAGATATATGCAGGTTATTTAACTAATAAAAGAATATCCATAAAGCATTAATAAGACAAGGAACGACGTTATGGAAAAAATAGGTCAAAGATACAATCAGACCACTCCCCCAAAGACAAGAACAGCATTCATGTTAAGGAAAATAAGCCTGAAATAAGTAACGATAAGAAAGCTATCATTAAAATAATATTAAAGAATTAAACCAACAAACTGGGGAACTTACAAAAATGTGAGACTTCATAGGGAAGGGGAGGCATAGTTCTCAGACTTGGGGACGTGAAGGCAGTCATGGGATTTGATAGAATACTCTGGATGTTGGCTTTATTAGTTTTTGAACTTTCCCGTCCAGCAAATCCTCTCCTAGTTTAAGATCATGGAGAAACTCATGACTATGTTTGCTGTAGCAGTAATTATGACAAAACATATGGAGCCCAAATGTCGATGGGATAGAGACCTGGGCAGAGAAGGTAAATGCACGCACTCTAACGTTGTACAACTATGAAAATAAGACACAGACACAGTAACTTAGGTAAAATTGAGAACCATCATGGGTGGTTAGAAGAGTCACTTAAGAGAATGTATACAGTGTGAATCCATTTAAATAAAGTAAAAAAAAATGCTACAAAATTAGCTGAAATGTGAATGGCATTTTCCATGGTACTGTGATTACAATAGACAGCAAAGAGAGCTTGGTCTCTATATTATGATGATCTGCCCCTAATCTAATATAGGTGATGAATGGGTAGTACGTGTGTGTGTGTGTGTGTGTGTGTGTGTGTGTGTACAAGTGCCACAGCCCATGAATGGCATTCAGAGGACAACTTCAGTTCTGGTCTTGTACCTTATTGAGTCTGAATCTCTTGCTTGGCTTCTGCACTGTGCTGTGTGTACCTTGCCAGCTAACCTAGGAGCTCCTGTGGATCTCCCCTGGGATCACAGATGATCCTACTGGCATCCCACTGGGAGTGAAATGGGGTGTGGGCTTGCACGGCTAGTGCTCTCATCTGTTTTGACTACCTCCCTGGCCCTTCCAGGAACTCCTTTCTTTGTTTTTCTCCTAGCATGGTGGGGGCGTGAAGTCATAGGTACTCAAATTCTCTCAGACCCACACCTTGCTGGAAGTCCCCAGTCTGTAGCTCCTGTTCTCTTTCTATCTGTGAACCCTCATGAGCCTCCCTCTTCTGTAAAGCTCAGAGCTTAAACACCACCATCTTTATCACTGTGTAAGAGAGAACAGGAAAACAATGGCAAATTAGTTGAAATTAAGTTCTAGAAATTGCTGTGGATTTCAGTCAAGAAAGAGTTGTACATCAGACCTTCTGACAAGAACCAATTCATTTCGAAGTAAGACTATGACTCCATTTTGGGGGGGCACCTTAAGGAGCAGAGCTTGTAGGTTGTCTTGCTAAAATATTTTTCTTTCTGAAGACTGCTAGACACTTTTCCAGTAAACACAAGGGTCCAAGTTTGCTCCCCAGAACTAAGAGAGGATGTGAGAGAGGGAGAGAGAAAAAGAGGATGAGAGAGAGAAAAAGAGGGAGGGAGGGAGGGAGGGAGGAAGGGAGGGAGGGAGAGAGGGAGGGAGAGAGAGAGGGAGGGAGCATAATGCCACACATTTATAGTCCTTAGGTGAGACAAAAGGATAGGAAGAGTGAGACCTCTATAGCTAGACCCTGTGGCCAACCCCCACCCCAAAATTAATCTATCTCCTAGAATTCTTACTCAGGGAACTCAATAGCA